TGGGATGGATGGGGTGGGGTGGGATGGGATGTTGTCAGGCAGAAGCAGCCACACTGGACCAAACTAGAATGGACCCCAGAGCAAAGAGTGGCAGAGATGCTTTTGGTGGGTTCAGGAAACTTTCTAGAAGGGGAAGAAATGCAGTAGTGAGGAGAGTCCGGGTCTGAGCCCAAACATGGCCTCTGCCTCCCATACCAGTGATGGGATCAAAATGAGGTGGTCAAGAGGGATGGAGGCCTGTGATTATCATAGAATCACATTTAAATTGGAAAAGACCTTTAAGATCGTGGAGTCCAACCATTAACCCAACACTGCCAGGTCCACCACTAAACCAATGCTCTTTCAGACATCACTGCTTGGGTACAATTGGCTCATTTGTGCAGGGAGCTCAGACACACCCTCCCACAACCCCAAGAGAGTCATCCCAGTCCCCTGAGAGGACCCCAAGGGAGGGAGCTGGGGGTGGCACAGAGCCCTCTGGCAGCACCACGGAGCACTGCTGGACATCAGCCCAGCTTCCATGCAGAGACCTGCTCCCCGGGAAGGCGAGATATGGCTGCGGTCTGTGGGCAAGGAGAGGGTGAGGACCTGCTGGGAACCCACGTGGGATGATGGTGGGAGGGGACCTGGCCGCGCCTTGGGTCTGAGACAAGCCAGGGCTTCCTAGAGAAAAAAGGAGGAAACAGACTTCCTTGAAGATTAGCTCATGTTTGCACAACTGCTCTGGAAGGAGAAAGGAGAAGGAATCGAAACCAATGTGCTGACAGCTCGGGTTTGGAAGAGGTAGGCTGCAGGTCATCGGCGCTGTTGGCCTGGCACGGCAACAGGGTGGCACCAAAGGGTCCTAATGCCACTTTCCCCAGGAAAGGGCTCTGCAGGAACAAAAAAAACCCGACACCCAACCCCTGAGCCCCCCTTCTATGGCCTCCGCACCCCCCCAGCCTGGTTTTCCCACCTTGCCTTTTGCAGCCTCTACCATGGCCCTGATGTACAGACCCTCAAGGTCAAGAAGCCGCGGGGTCACACCACCTCCTGGACGTGGGTTAGAAAGGGAGGGCTGTCTTTAAGGGAGAGCTGAGCCAATGGCTTCTTCCAGCCAAGGTCTCTGCACATGGAAAACCTCACAGGCCAAGGGCTGAGCTCTCTATTCCAGGCTTTGAGGCACAGGGTCGCTCTTCCTTTCTCTTAGCTCATTAAACCCATCCTCAGTCCCATCAGAAGTGTCAGTAGATGCCTTCATGATCTGCTCTTCATAAAGCGAATCGGTGCATGTGGGGTGTTTGAAGGCCTGGAGGGGTCCCATGAGGCTCTTTGGAGGCTTTTCGCCCCAGCAGGGGATCTTTGGGCTCGGCTTTAGTCTTCTCCACCCCCTCCAAAGCTGCTGTGCCTGGGGTGCTCCCGGTGACCTCCCGGGCCATCGCCACCGGTGGCAGAACCTCTGCTCCAGGTGTGGAGCTCCAGGACCTCCCCTAGATTTGCCTGCACAGGCAAATGCCCAAGGCAAGCAGCGTCCTCCAGAGAGAGAGGAGGAGAGACGGGCTCTGTGTGATTTTATTGGTGTTGAGACCAACAGCAGCTTCACTCTAGTTTATAATTAACCACAATTTTTTGACTGAGGAAAAACCCTACTTTAGAGATCGAAGTGGGTAGCCACGAATGGAAAGAAAAAAACCACAGTGTAGAGATGGGGAATATTCTCTGACTCATACAATGTTTTGGTTTTTTGAGTAGGTCATCATAAAAATTCATAGTTTGACAGGGTATGTGAATCCTCTGCCTATGATAAATGCCGAAGAAAATGGAGGAGCACGAGACACTTGCACGGTGGGGATGTTGGTTGCTGACACCGATGCCACCAAAACCCTCTCTGGAGGAAGTCTTCCTCACCACCAGTGTGGCCAAAAGGTAAAACTCTAACAAAAAAATGACTTTGCTAAGTTCACCAGAGCTTTCTTGCCGCAGCAGATGGAAAAGGCGATAGGAAACATGTGGAGGGAAGCAGTATCACAAATGCTATGGTAGGTAGCAGAAAGACCTTGCAGAGGTCAAACCTAGATCTCACGTGGTGATGACAACCCAAGTAGCATTAGATGACCTGTCAGAGGCCAGGGGAGGGGTTTGTGCTCTCTCAGGTGTCATTTCAAGGCAAAAGAATAGAAACAGATGTAGTGATGACAATCCAAAGCCGATCTCCTTGCATGCGCCAGGAGATGCTTCAGGTTGTGGAAGCCTTTTGGAACTGTTGCCTTTCCTCTTCAGGAGCCTTCAGACCACGGAGACACCCTGTTTGCTTGGCCTCCGTGCCCTCTCCTGATGGCTGTGCAGGGCTTTCCCAGGCCAGCAGGTCCCAGGTTACCCAGACCCACACCCACTGCCAGACGCCCTTCTCTGGTCCCGTGTCCAGACCCTCTGCCAGCAGTTTCTGCTGCAAGTGCTGGCAGGGACCTCAGAGCCCCAGTCCTGTCCCTGTCCCCGGGTGACAGGAGCCACTTACCACTGCACTGTTTGGAGAAGGCATCTCCAAAGCGTGGCCCAGGCCCTTGGCCTCACCCCACGATGCTGGATGCCATGGGGCTGGTGCCCCACAGCTGGCTCCGATTGCTCAGGGGCACCAGCTCCATCCTCTTCTTCAGTCTTCCTCCTGCTCCTGGTGGCCTGGGCCAGCCTCCATCTCCAGCCCGTCACCGGGTAGGAGGGATGGGCCAGCCCTTCCCATGGACCTGCTTTTGCTCAGGGGGCTGGCAGGACCCAGGTGCGCAGTGGGGCAGGCGTTGGTGGGACCCATGTTCACCAGGGGACAAGGCTCAAGGTCTCATGATGGGCTCAGCTGGGGCTGACGTCGCGGTGAAGCTGGTTCTGTGAGGGAGGTCACCGCTGGGACCTGATGCTGGGGATGGAGGTTGAAGGCTCAGGATGGAGGTGAGGCTCTGGCCTCCCAGGCACGCTGTGCTCACCCCCTGCACGGTGCCCGGCTGGACCTCCCCATCCAGCCAGAGACCTGGGGCTGCATCCAAGCCAAAGCTGCCAGGAGAGGGCAACAGGACCAAGCAAACAGGGTGTCTCCGTGGTCTGAAGGCTCCTGAAGAGTAAAGGCAACAGTCCAAAAGGCTTCCTCAACCTGAAGCATCTCCTGGTGCACCCCAGAGATCTCTTGGCTCCCAGCCCCACAGCCTGTCAGGGTCATGCCTCAGCTCTGGATGGGTTTTGCCTCTACCACGGGAGGTGCTGCAGCCAAAATCTGGTTCCCCAGGAGCTCTGGCAGCAGCTCTGCCAGGGTGACTATTGCTCAGGGACTGCCCGCGCATCATCCGGCTGGTGCTGAGCGACGGCTTTTGCATTGCTTCGTGGATTGTTGTTTTTTTTTTAGTGGGTGCTTTTGTTTTGGGGTTGTTTTTTTTCTCCTTTAGGGGAGGAAACGGCCTCAGGGAAGGAAGCAGGGAGTAGGTGGATGTTTGGAGTTACCTCATTTCTCTTCCTGAGTCACCGTCTCAAGTGATGGAGCCCTGGCAGTGGCTGCCACTTGGGAAGGAGCACGCGAAGCCCTTGTCTCACGCTGCTTCAGCGCGCAGCCTATTGAACCACCTCCTTTCTCCACCCACGTGTTCTCCCACTCTCACCCTTCCGATTCCCCTCGCCACCCCCAAGCCCTGGGTCACTGCTGAGCTCACCGCTGGCATGGAGGGGGTTTCTGTGGGTGGATCAACCCCCGGCTCTTCTCCAAGCCCAGGGAGTTCTGCAGGGAAAGCCAGCACAGCTCGGATAAACCTCCTGGCGGCCAGGCTCTGCTCATGCATGCAGCCATGCAAGGGACAAGCTGAAAGCTCAGAGCCCCAAACCGCTGGCAGCTGCGCACCTAAACACCTTCAGAGGAGCCTTCATCCCCTTTCAGGTCCCATTGATGCCCAGAGGATCCAGGCAGCACCCTCTCTCCCACCCCAGTGAGACTCATGAGATTTTGGGAGGCAGGAGGAGCTCCCTTCCCACCCGAGCCCCTTGGCCAGCTCCGCGTGTCCACCAGCAGCGTGGCTGATGGAGCCTGGAGAAGGAAGGACACCGCTCTCGAGTACCATGTGAAGTAAACCTTTATTTCGGGGCTGTGCCCGGCAGGCAGCACCCCAGGAACTTGTGCCCGACTGGTCGATGCAACGCAGGGCTCTGGGGAGTCAGTGCCGTCCCTCGGTGTCGGGGACCTCCACAGCCCTTGCCGCGAGGATGGCTGTAAACCTTCCTTCCCACCTGGACGTTGCGAAGCCTGAGCCAGGGCAGCGGCTCTACATCATGGGAATTGAAGTTGCTTCTTTTTTTGGAGCTTCTTAACTACTTTCTTCACCCAAGTCGCCTCTGGGTCTGCGCAGAGCTTGTCCCCTTTCTTGTTCACAAGCCTGCCGAGATGAAAGGTGAAGCTTGGTGAGAAACTACAGTTGTAATCCCGCCTGCGTCCGTGCCATCCCCCCTTCCCTGCTCTCCTTCTCCTTCCCCTTGGGCTCTGCACGCTGCCCCTGGTGTCCTACAAGCAAGCCCAGGAGACAGCACGGCGGTGGGGAGATTGCCAGGACTTACACAACTGCTGGGAAAGAACACTCCTTGGGAGATAGGTAGCAATCCTTCAGGTTCGTTTGCGGGAGAGGGCCCTTTACGTAGTTGAAGCAGCACTCGAACGGTGTGTAAGGGGCTGGAGAAGACAAAGAGAGACAAGGAACATTGGTTTTGGAAAGCATTCTCTATGACTTTCCCCCGTGACAAGGCTGATGGACACAACATCCATCAGTTCAATGTCCAACAAGTTCTGCAGGTCCATGAGGACCCCCAGGTTCCCTCTATTTTTCCCAGGACAGGAGGATGCTCCAGGTTATCGTCCAGCACTGGTTGGATGGCTTTGCCGAAATCACCCAGCCCCAGGAGCCATCTCCATCCCTCCCTGTCCTGACCACAGGGTTGCTCCTCCTGCCACCAGCACCGTCCCCGCTCCCCAGTGGAGTTTCTCACCTGACGTCTGCAACGGGGACACCGTGGAGCCCCACGATGTGGCCCAGGAGGTGCCTTACCTGAATCACAGCATAGGGAGAGGGTGAGGAGCGTTGTGAGCAGCAGGACCGTCCGTAGACTGAGCATGGTGGCTGTGTGAGGGCTCTTCCTCGCAGGCTGCTGCTTCTGCTGCTGCTTCTTCTTCGGAGCTCAGCTCTGAGACCGGGCAACAGAGGTGCCGCAATTTATCCTCTCCACCCCTCCCCATATCGCACCTTTTCCAGAGAATTTCGACCGAATTCACGCGAAAGCCCAGTACATTTGCTTCGGCCGAGGGGATTTCCGTGTCACGTGTGATCTCCAGGATTAGCAACCGCAATGACGACACCTAGAAAGACTGAACAGATTTCGGCAACTTCTGCCTCTGAAGCAGGTCCGGGGAGAACCGCAGAGTCTGTGAGGGAAAGGAAATCGTTCTCTGCAGACGTGTGGGCTTGAGGGCTCCCAAACCCATGGAGTGGGGCAATAAGGAAGGCAAAGCCCGGCTTCCCATGAAAAAAAAGCCACTTTTCAGCCCCAGAGCCAACATAAACATGCTGGAGGTGGCTGGCTGGCTTGTGAAACCCCTCCCGAAAGCCTCAGGCAGAAACGTGGTGACCACTGCTGTCATCAACTCTCTGCAAGGTGTCAAATCGCCTCCCATTCCATGGTGTCCCTACGGAGAGGACGGTGAGTTCCTCATCACATATCGCTGTTGATCGCTGGGGTGCATGGGGTGAAAGGAGAAGGGGGTGCAGCCAAGTCCCCCCCTTGCAGATGAGGCTGGCTCGGCCCCTCAGTTTCAGGGCAGGCTGAGGAAAGAGGAAGGAAACGGTGGCATTCAAAGTTCTGGGGCATTTTTCCAACATTTGCCTCCCTTTGTGGCCTTGAAGCCTCCCCAGATCCTGAAGGACCTGCAGGAAGGGGTCAAACCTCTCCGTGTTAACCTGGGGAGAGCTTCTCCCCACTGTGCTCGACTCCCCCTTCCTCACCCGACCACTCTGACCCTTCTGCAGGTCCTTGCCTCTCATGCACATCCCCTGCTCTGAAGTTTATTTCCCCATCCCCTCTTTTTTTTCCTCCAGGCTGTAAGTGGGTGGACGGAGCAGCAGGATCCCACCACGTCATAGAACGTCTTAGGTTGGAAGGGACCTCAGAGATCATAGAATCATACTCCCCTGCCATGGTCAGGGACACCTCTCAACTAGATCAGGCTACTCAAGGCTCCGTCCACCCTGGCCTTGAACCCCTCCAGGGAGGGGCCAGCCACAACATCTCTGGGCAATTTATTCCAAAGTCTTGCCACCCT